CCCCAAAACCCCAAAACCCCAAAACCCCTTAAGATTAAATATTGGGAATAATTTGCATTTGATAAATGATATAGTAGGGAAAAATGTAAAGCAAATATTGAGATAATTTCTTAAGTTAAAGTTAAGAGCTTAAGTATAAGATTGCTAGTAATATTCAAACTTCGAGATATTTCTTAAGATCTATTTGCTCATCGGTCAGCACCTTCTTAACTTCTTTAACTCTTGTCACAACTGGTTTATCACTTCTGTTCATTATTGGTCTGCCTAATCTAATGAATTACTTCTTGTCCTTCTCTTCTTGCTTCAATCTTCTCTTCTCTTCTTATTGTTAGAGTTCTCTTGCTTTAGTTTCCTCACGGTTCTAGACTCTTTGAGCTTTCTTGATCTTAGTTGACTCTGCTTGTACAGTTTCTTTATCAATATTTTCTGATATTTGGAAGTCTAATAAGAATCCATCTATTAGCTTCTCTACTTCATTAAGTAGTTGGATCACAGAAGCGTTACCCATCTTTCCCTCAGCTTTTTCAGCAAAGCCAAGTTGATAGAGATCCTTGACCTAGCCTTCAACCTTAGTATAGATATGTGGATCTAGAGCTCTGTTTTACTGATCCTATGAAGTGTTTTCTAGATTATTTTTTTCTGCATCAGTTTTAACAATGCGACTTTTAATTTCAGTCTTGGATCCCTTGAGAACTCCTATCTCGGAGTTAAATTCAGACTTTAGTTTTTCAAACTCATGCTTCTTGGTTTCTAATTACTGTTCAGCTTCTTGCCCTTATTGAATTAGAAAGAGATTCTTTTCTTCAAGAGTAGAGAATATTTCAAGAAGCTCATCAGGTTCATCGAAATGAATAGGATATTCGTCGTCTGATTCTTCAATTACCTCTCTCAGCTTAGGTGGAATTTAGACTTCACTCTCATCGTTTTTCATTGCCGTATTAGATGCTCCGACGCCACCTATTTTCTTTCCTTTACCGTCTTTACTTTGCTAGGCTTTTCCGTTATTAAATCCTCTTCCTTAAGATTATCCAAATTATTCATTTCTCTCTTGCTCTTCCCTTCTTCTTTTCCTTGCTTGTTTTCTTCTCTCCATCTCATCTTATATTTCCTTTCCAGCTAAAGAATCTAAGAAAATTTTGTAGTCGTAGAAAATACTCAGACTCTCAAGGTTCTTATTTATACCACTAACAAGAATGGTCTGCTCGTCATTTATTTATCTAAGCTCTTATGTTTTCTACGCTTTTTTGAATTTTAGATTTTCATATTCTTTGTTAGCTGCTTATGTTTTCTCCTTAATGTCATTGAAGAAGGCAATAAATGAGTTAGTATCCTAAGCCAACATCTTTTCTGAACAGTTAAGACCATCTTCTCTCATGAATGCATGATCTTCAAGTCTCTAGATCTCCCTCTGTTTGGTTTCGAGCATCTATTGAACCAAGAACATCTCTCTTTTTTTCTCAATCAATTTATATCTATTTTCCTTGTTCTTGGGTCTCTCAATCGGAATAGTGAAGCCAGCAGCCTCGCCCACATTTATCTTCTTCTAGACCTTAGGATTGATTGCTAGAGCTGATGGCTCGATATCAGTTTCACCTATCTTTCTTAAACAACCCTCTCTGGTTGGACGGTTTTTCTCCCAGATCTTCATTGATTTATTTTTGTCCCTCTCCTCTATTTTCCTCTCTTTCTCCTCTTCTTTGAATGAGAATATCTTCTCATCAGGTGGGATTCTAAATGGATTGTCAACATCCCCATCGTCGTAGCCTCCATCATAGCCTGATCTATTCATCTTGTGCCCACTTAAAGCACTTTTTGAAGAACTGATACTACTCATATTTTATTTATTACGAATTAACTTCAATTATTATAATTATAAGTAAGTTATCTTTGAAAATGGTAAAGAGATAAGTTTAAGTCGTTGTCAGAACTAGACCAACTTCAAATTTTGCCTCCAAAAATCTGCAGATTGACTCTGTTAACAATGTATGCACAAATTTATCTTAACGCTATCTAGACTGTGACGGTCCAAGTCCCTAAGAACGAGTCAAGTGGATTTGTAAACAATTAATAAGAATAATGGCGTTTCAAATTCGATAAAATCCTGCATAATTCATCTCAAGAGGATGTGTTTGATCACTGTGCAAGAGATATTGTCAAGTCTGTGATTGAAGGATTCAATGGTACAGTCATGGTTTATGGTTAGACTGGAGCAGGTAAGACCTTCACAATGAACGGATCTACTCAAAACTACAAATATAGAGGAGTTATTCCAAGAGCTATCACTTAGGTGTTCTAAGAAATTGGTAGTAGATTCGAACAGGAGTTTACCGTGAAAGTCAGCTACCTTGAAATTTATAATGAGCTTATGTTCGATCTGATTTCTCCAGTCCCTACTCATGAATAAGGGGGAAACTAAATTTCAATTCAAGATGATGCTAAGGGAGAAATCCATGTAAAGGGATTGACATTGAATGTTGTTAAAAATGAAGAAGAGGCTTTGAATTTCCTTTTTGAAGGTGAGACTAATAGAACTGTGAGTGCTCATTAACTTAATAAGGAATCAAGTAGAAGTCATTGCATATATACCATTCATCTTGAAAGTAAAAGCAGACTCGAATCAACTGAGAAAGTTGTATTCTCAAGACTGCATCTTGTTGATTTAGCTGGTAGTGAGAGGACTAAAAAGTCAGGTGCTCAAGGTATTAACTTGAAGGAGGCAACATACATTAATAAATCACTCTCATTCTTGGAGCAAGTTGTAGTATCTGTTTGTGATAATAAGAGAGAGCACATTCCATACAGATAAAGTAAGTTGACAAACTTTTTGAAGAATTCTATTGGTGGAAACTGTTAGACAATTATGATAGCAAATATCTACCCTGAACCTGATCATGTTGAGGAGACTATCTCTACTCTTAAATTTGCTACCAGAATGATGAAAGTCAGCAACGAGCCAATAGTCAATGTCTAGCAAGATCCTTAGTTACTTCTTAAAAAGTATGAAAAAGAAATTAGAGATCTTAAGCAAGAACTTGCTATGCATGATACCCTAGCTAACAAAGGAAGAGTTTAATACGATCCATACACAGCAGAACAGCAGTATGAAATCCAGAAGCTAGCTTAGCAGTTCATGGATGGAGAAGTAGAAGATATTGAGGAGCTAAACTCAATGAGGTAGGTTAAGGAGCTCTTTGCACAAATGAAGAATATCTTTAGAAAACTTGAACATGATGCCAAAAACATTGAAGCAAGAAGTGAAGGACTAGGAGGGTAGAGGCAACCTACTTAACTTTAAGATATTGAGAGAAGAAAAACTATGATGAACTCTGATGGAGTTGGCGATTTAGATGACATTGGTGAATTTGGTCTTGGTATTGCCCCAAGAAATCTCAAGCCAGTTAATAAGATTGAATTAAGTAAAAAGAAAGAAGAAGAAATTGCCAGAATGCAAGCTGATGATGACAATCCTCCTCTAGAAACTGAGCCAGATGATGAGGCAGATAGCAAACTAGAAATGATGAGACTAAAGAAGCAGAGAGAAGCTAAGCGCAAACCTATTGATAGATAACAGGCTTTCATTGAATTCAAGAACCTCCCTGATGGCAGATAATTTGAGGATTAGATTCTGAATAACAGATAAGAATTGAAAGACAAGAAGGTCAAAGTTAAAGTATTAACAGAATAGTGCAACAACACCAAGAAGGAAATAGACACTATCAAGGCTAAATTAGATGAAAAAGCAGAAGAGAAGAAGAAAAATTTGAGAGAGGATATTGCTGGCATTGATGATGATGATGGACAAGGAGGAAATGGGGAAGTGTAGCAGGAAATCATTGATGAGGAAGAACTCAGCTATCTCTAGAAAATGAAAGAGATGAAAAAGAAATATAGAGAGAACTACGACCTATTAAAGTCTCTCAGAGGTGAGGTCTACTATGTGTAGCAAAGTATCGACTCACTTAAGCAATAATTGGTGTCACAATTTGAAGACTGGTACACTTTAACTTTTGATGACGATGAGACACTATCCTAAGGGGGTTAAGTAAGATTTCTTAAATTAATTTACAATGATTATAGTAGTAAAAATCTGGTAGAACTTTGCAGCAATCTACTAAGTTAATATAAAAGTAAAATTTCATAGAAGTTGGTGATGATGAGCAAGAAAGAAGAGAGGGAGGGGAAGATCAAGAAGGTGGAATTGATCCCGATGCCCTAGCTTTCATCAAAGCAAAGAGAAAGGTAGACGATTTACACAAAGCTAAAAAGCAAGAGAAAAAAATTCAGTGAACTGAAGAAATGCTTAGATAATAAATTGAAAGGAAAAATAATTCTGTAGGAATTCATGATAAGCGAAAAGCTATAATATATTTAAGTCATTAATAATCTTAAAGCCATATCAATTTATTTGGTATTTTATGATTGTCTAATGTTTTAGCTGTGATTTTTCATTTCGGGGTTTTGGGGTTTTGGGGTTTTGGGGTTTTGGGGTTTTGG